ATTTGAAATACGTAATGATTTAATTAAATATATTGTTTTTTATCGCCAGTTAAAATGTCTTAAATGTTCTAGTTCAGTGGTCCTCAAACTTTAATAACCGGAGGACCCCTTTTAATTTAAAACTTTTTCGCGAACCCCCAAACCTATCGATATTTTTTAAAAAAAAAAAAAAAAGATTTTGGGAATAAAAAATATTTTCCATAAAATTAAGACATTTGATTTTGGAATACAGCTTTTCATGTACACGGAATCTTTTTTTTTTTTTTTTAAAAAATATCGATAGGTTTGGGGGTTCGCGAAAAAGTTTTAAATTAAAAGGGGTCCTCCGGTTATTAAAGTTTGAGGACCACTGAACTAGAACATTTAAGACATTTTAACTGGCGATAAAAAACAATATATTTAATTAAATCATTACGTATTTCAAATCAAAGGTTTGTAAAAATAGTATTTCAGGTTTATCTTTCACCCGCCACAAGTATAATCTTAAGAATGTCTTTCCTTCAATATTCGAATTCATCAGCGGGCTACATACAATGATGTCAATCCAAAGTATCTCAAATGCTGTATATATATACAAAAAAAATCGTATTATACCGTTAAACGCCTAAAACTGGCGATGTAATGAAACCATTAGGCTTCACTATGTTTTGATGTTTAACACTGTAACAAGAAATTCGAAGTAACGACCTTTATAACGCTGATCGAGCCACAAAAGGTTTAGCCCAGTGGTGTAGCCAGCTACGAAATTTTGAGTGGGACTAGAGTTACGATGGGTGGGCATACGAACCCTTGGACGAAAGTTACAGGTAAGTTAAAAGCGCCACGTGTGACGTATTTGGAGATAGGAACCATCAACCAAACCCTGATTGGGCGCTGAGTATTAGTCGAGAAATATCCATAGAATGTTCGGTTTTTATTTTTTTATCTTCTTTCTTGGAGGATGAAAATTCAAAAAGAAAATAAAAACCAAACAAACTAAACACAAACAAGCCTTAAGAAAATTACATCTTAGGGTCGTAAGTCCATAGACTTACCGCTGTCCCACCGGGGGTCTCTTTTAATGGATAGAAAATAAATTAAATGTTTATTGTTTGATGTTTCTATAACAAAAGTTTTTTAGCAAATGGAAATGTCTACTTCAAGTACACTGCACCAAACAATTAAGATTATTATTATAAGCCATGATAAAGAATAATTACTATCATGAAATAATGTCAATAGGTCCCCTCCACAAAATATATTTTTAATTAAATCAAGCGTCTGATCTCTTCTATGATCTGAAAGGGAAACGATTAATCATTCACTTTATACTTGGACATTAACAGTTCATAGATGTGGTCTTACATCTTTAGAGTTCATTATCGAGCATGGTCACTAAGAAAATCAAGGTCAGCCTGATATTGGTGTTGCATGCCTCCACCACTGTTCTGAAAGAACTGCACCCAGGGTATCATTTTTAGTGATGGATTCACTTGATGGGATTTAATGCGTCACCCAAGAGCACTAAAGGACTGAGATCCGGCGAGGAAGTATAACACTTAATCTCTGCTTTAGTACAGTGGGGATAGGCGTTTTGATTCATCAGACTAAAGACAGGGATAATTGCACCAACATTTGGCAGTGGTCTCTATAATGTGTTGTGGTATTAAGTGGTGCCATTCTTCAGGATGTAGTGTTTGGTAAGTCCACTGCTCTTGTACTGTTGCAATATGCATCACATTCTTGTAGTACATGGAGTTTGATATAGTTCTTAAAGTACTCTCAAATGGGTATATGCATATTACCAGGCTGCAAGGTGAGGCATGAGCCAGTGGCTTCGTGTTAAGCTCGATTCAGGAGTTCCTATCCACAGTTTTTACTAGTAAAACTAACACTACGATACCGCGAGTTTCAAACAGGACACTAACTATTTATAATTTTACTACAGTAATCATCAGAAAAAACTAGTATACTGTAAACATTCAATTTAACGTTGGTTGTAATAATAACAATCAGTGAGAGAGAAGAAAACTCACTCGAAAACAAGAAATGGATAACTACATTCTCAAGGGGTTGGGATTTTTTTTTAGTAAATTCAAACCTCTACTTCGAGATGGGTAAAAAAAAAGTCTAAGCAAGTCTATAAGTGTTTACAGGCGAGAATCCTTCGAAATTTGGTTAGCAGCACACTCGGGGTTAATTTTGATTTGTTGCCAGGTTGATTCAAACATGCATTGTAACTGAGCCATGATAGGACCCAATTGCATGCGTGGCTCATCTGTAAAATGAATTTTGCTCCATATGCTGCTGGCCCATTGAATCTGTTATTGGTACTATTGCAGGCAAACTTTCATGTGCTTTGCTGTGTGAAGAATATACTTCTTTTGGGTTTATTGCATACAATCCAGCCTTCTGAAGTCTGTTTCTAACCGTCTTGTACACTGACACGGCATCCAGTTGCTGCTGCGAACACCAGATTCAGTCTCGAAACAAATACCCTACAATAGCAGTAAGCAAGAATTGACAGGGAGCAGTCGTCTTGTTTGTGTTGAAGATGATGATCTGCCTTTTATAGTACTGTTTCATGGTACAGCTACTGAAGTTTAATGTAGTGTAACCAATTCAAAAGTTTTGTTTCCATTGTCCATTCATTTGTGGTTTGAGATCTAGCCACGATTTACGAATTTAAGCACTTTCAACTCTGTGATTCACTTCAAGATGAACGACCATTCATTTACGTTTCAGATCATGAAACAATTTATTATGAAATTCCTGATTTTAATAACAATAAACGGAAGGACATTACTTTAACAGTGGTTTCCCTATCATAATTTTAATATTACAAATTCCGATCACGCCGTGTTTTGCGCAATCATGTCAGAAAATACCTACTCAAGAAATGAAACTGAAATTTTAATTAAAACGATAGAAAGGATTTCTACACACGTCTGTTTAATTTTTTTGGGTGGGGAATAAGCCTTTAATGCTATAAATGCATATCTGTTTCGCAATAATTTATGGTCATTCCGTGTGATACATTTAACAGAATACCCAATATCTCAAGAGACCGGTATTTTCGTTTTTAGCTCCGAAGGAACACAAAGTATACCACTGGAAAAGTTTAAGAAAATTCTTATGAAAAGAATGAACAAAAAACATTATAGAATTTGACTGCGTGTTGGTTGAATAATTGAATATTGTCGTAGAAAAACTGAAAATCTACATAAAAGTCTTGGTTTAGAATTTGCAAGATTATAATTAAAATTCATATATTGCACTACACAACGCCATCTATCAATAAGAGAGTGGTCAACTGAGAAAGTGCTGATGTATTAGCTCACCTGTACAAAGTCTGGTAACAGAACCAAGGAACAACAGCTGCGTTTCTTTGTCCTGCAGAGAGGCCGTGAGGTCCAACAATACGGTAAACCTGGAGTACACAAACTGTTAAGCCTAATATTGCAGCTAGAAGCATCTTCCTTAACAACTTTTCTACTCTGCTTTGTCTACTAGGTTTCAACTTGTGGGCGTCAAATTGGAAGTCTTCCTGACAAAAATGCCTGCTGGATCTTAATAATAAATAAATAAGCAAGAGGTGGAACTATTGGTTGAAAATAGTAAATGTATGATACACTGATACGAGACATGTTAAAAAAGACGAAGTCACTAGTACACCCCAGTACCTATATATATATATATATATATATAC